CACACAAATAAGTGGCAAAGCAATTTTGATTAAATCCTGTTTTCTCGATGGCTACTTGGAATACAGCATGCATATGCAAGCCCCAAGAATATTGAATAACAGATAAAATAAATAATGATCATAATGCAAACCACATTCTGATTCCCATTTCCCTGCAAGTATGACTCCATGTAAGAATTACAAGAGCCAAAAAGTAACATGCTTATTAACTGTGGGTTACTCAGCTTTATACATAGAGCTTAGCAGATCACGTGAATGTTTCCACATTCTCAGCTAAGCTAATGGTTCCTTAGAGCCCCGTTCCTACAACCCCTGAAGAATTTCAAGATTTGCCTGAAAAAATATATCATATTTCCATGACCATGCCTGAACACATATTTGGAACGCTCACGGAAAGCAAACTATCCTGGAGGCAGGAAATGGTCATTGTTTTCAAAGAAAGGCAAGACACTCCTGCACACAGGAAATCAAGCCCGTCTCAGGGGCTTGATCTCATCTCCCTCCACACAAACCTGCGTGTCCTGTGTGGGCCCTGCCCTTCACCTCACACGGAGGAGCATGGTGGGGGATGAGAATACGATCGCTTACCATTTAAGGTCAAAGACGTTTTATTCAAAATTGCCACGTAAACGCATCCAGAGAAATACAGACCCTCCTTCTTTCACATTTCATTTCATTTAAAAGTAATCGGGGACTTAGAGGGAGTTTGGGCTTAACAACAGGCAACTTGTAAGCCTCTGGGAAAACCTGTCCAAAGACTCGGATCTAAAATGTCGTTTCCTAGATACACTGTTTTCTGCAGCAGCGCTCGGTAAAACTTTCATTAGAAAGTAGCTGCATTTCATCTTTTCCTCGGGAAAAGGGAAATAATGACTCTGATAGTTTTTATTGATTTTTTACTTAATTCTTGGGAGTAAAAAATGCTGTTATACGGCGAGTCTGAGATTGAGATATAAAAAAAAATCCTCGTTTGAGTCCCAGCTGGTTACTTTGACCAGAGGTAGACACAGTGGGGAGACCCAAACCTGCCCAACCACTGCACGGGACTGATGGCAGCTCAATGGAGCCGAGTGCTATTTCACTTGTAAAGCAGCAAAGACCAATCTACTAGTAAGGACTTTATTTTGAATGTCTTTACTTCAACAGTCAAACTTGCAGAGGAATAGAGTAGGCCTAGTATTTTGAGGGAGATTCACTCTAACTCGTTTCATACAGAAAAGTCCTTTACTAGCACGGTTCTCTTTGAATGAAGTCCCAAAGGGTTGGATTCATATTAAAATCTCTAATATGAGAAGAATTACAGCAAGGTTACGATATAATTAACCTGAGTTATCTTTCAAAACTCTCGCTGATAGGCAGTCTGCCACTTCAGACTATGTTCATGCTGTGATTTTTAAAATTAGCAGAGAATGAGGTTTTCATATTCATTCAAACTAAAAGAACACACGAATCTTTGCATAAAAAGAAGGCGTTGGTTAACACTTTCAATTATTTTCTAATACTATTCTGATAATAGTGTTTTTTTAATGACTCTCTGTATGGCAAAGCCTTATTCGATCTACCTCCTAGAGTCTGCAAAAAAAGCCTACGATTCTTATTTAAGGATTATGATGATTCCCTTCACTGCTTGGAGAGGGGAGAAAAAAATAAAAAAGCAAAATCGGGGCTATTATCCTGTGTTTATAACAAGTCTATTACCATAGTAACAACTGTGATGTCACAAACCCAATACCAAGAGCCAAATTCTGTCTCTGAGTGGGGAAGGGCAGCTTAGCCTCAGAAATCGGGTGAAATCGGATACAAACATGAGTGGCCAAAGAAGGGTCAATGCTTGTGGTGATCACCAGAGCACAGGGAGTTCCCCTCCTCTGAAGAAAAAGGGGGCAGGAACAGAAAAGCAGATCCCCAGGCACAGAAGCAAGCTACACCCACACTTCTGAATGCAGCTGTGCGAGAGGAGAGGGGAAATCCAAGAGCATGTGGTATCACCGTGTTCCCAATCACGAGTATTCCACTGGGCCCACAGCCTGCCAAATGTGGACGAGGTCCAGTGGTCAGCCTGAGTACATGAAACATGCCTGGAACCAGCGCCCGGCCAGACAGAGCCCTCTGGTACCTCCGAGAAGCAGCAGCTTGCCTCAGGATGGCAATCACTTTCACACCAAACTGGGGTTTCGCCCCCCTACTCGGTCACCCCAGTTCACAGAACCACGGGTTTTCAGGGTGAGAGAACTTATTGGGTCTTCCAAAAGATGTGGACTTTTTAAAATAAAATAGCCTTTCGCAGGAATAAATTGTACCCCCTGTCCCTGGGGAAGTAGCAGATTAGTAAGTATTCTTGCTAGAAGTGCAGCTCTGAGTTAAAAAGTATTGGATTAGGAGTCAGAAGACCTTCGTACTAGTCTTGGCTCAAGTACTTAGAAATCACATGGCCCTGATAAAGCCACTTAACCAATTTGAGCTTTAGTTTTTTATGTAGTACTACCAAATATGCTAATTCCCAGGGCTACTGTAAAGATCAAATAAAATAAAATAGCAAGCATCAATGAGTTTCATACACTGTATTGGATTTAATACAAACATAGGTACTGTTATTAGCATTCTCACATGGTCAGTTCACAGTACAACAATAATTCGAACACTGATCACTATTTTCTCTCCAGGAATCCAAAGCACACCTAGGACCCCCATCTTTCCTCTCCTGAGAGGTGGACACTTGCATGATACCATCAGCTCCAAACTATTCAGGGGCAGGTTATCGAGGGGCCTGTTGCTTCTAGACAACCTACTGTTCCTTAGTTCCCCCTCAGGAATGCCAGGTTAACCTACAGATGGCTACAAACTCTCAGTGAGAGTGCCTCGGCTCTATGACCCTGAATAACAAACAACTCTGGTACATGTTTTAGTAAAAGAAAGAATTGAAGTGATTAACGAGACGGAAGTCTCTGGATAAGTTGTGGACTTTGCTTCTCCACAGGGAATTACTCACATAACTGTCGGAGAGAATATGGTCGAGGTCAGACAGGCTGGGACTCATTCAACAACGGAGTAGCCTGTGCTGTCTTATATGTGGGCCACAGGAATTTGAATAGTATTCATTTATTCAACAAATGTTGGTGGAGTACCCACTATGTGTCAGAGCTCACCACATACCCTGAAAACCCCACTATTTTCCAGCCCTTGTTACTGTCCCTTATGCCATTCCACAGAGGACCTTGACAAAGCTCACAGCCTGACTCTTAGAAAAGCTATTCACCTTCCAGTTATCACGAAACTTTTACCAACCTTACCCTGATGTGGGGGTTACCAAACTATGTCCCTGGCCAAATCCTGCTCACTGCCTTTTTTAATATAAAGTTTTATTGGAACCCAGCCATGACCATCTGTTTACGTATCACCCGTGGCCGCTCTCCTGCGACCATAGCAGAGTTCAGCAGTTGTGATAGGGACAGTACAATGCCAAAGCCCAAATTCCTACCTGGCCCTATGTAGCAAAAGGTTGCTAATCCCTGAATTAGATAATATGACTAAATGAAAATTCATCTCTCATGCACATTTCTGCTTAGGAACGAGTAGGGTAAGGTCCTTGAAAGCAGAGAACCTTTCTGTATCTTTGTCTTTTCCTATAGAGCCCAGAAGTAGGATCGAGTCAGGTTGAGAGCAGACACAGAAAATTAAACATGTCCTTCCCTACATTTTGCTTTGAACAGATGAGCACCTTGGAGTCGCATGGAAGACAGCATAAAACCACTGGTGTTGGGTTACTCCGGCTTGTAATTCCTCCGAGTTCCAACGTCTAAGACTTCCAAGGCTCAGTTTTTGGCCTCTATCCCTTTGCATATTTATTTCCTGATCTGATGTGGAATTAGAATTAAATAGGAGCTGTGTGCTTGAATTCCACGTGGCTGGCTCAGCAGGAAACTCCAGGGCAGGTTTTTTGGCATGCCAAACTCATGTTAGCCTCAGCTATGCTAATTTTGAAAGCTGTTTGCTTTTGCTCAAATAAATCTTAGGAGGGAATTTGCATTTGGATGCACACCTTTCATGCACAAATTATGTGCATGATAACTCTAGGGCCGACTGAAACTGAAAAAAGGAAAAAATTAAATGGCTTTTGTTTGGCAGACACCATGTTAAGAAGCTTTGCATACATTTTCTCAGCTCAGGGACAAGGCAAATCCCCTGGTATGGAACTACGATCCCCATTTTACAGATGGGGACACTGAGAAGAAGAAAGTTTATGTTATTTATCCATGTTCAGAAAGCTGGTAAGTGACGGAGCTTAAATTTGAACCCACACTGCCTAAATCTGAAAGCTGTGTTCTTTTCACTGAGTCGCACTGTCTTAATAATACCCTCATTGCCATCATCGCTCACCTAAGCCACTGGACATCCATTCAGGCATGAACCTTACATTTATAAAATTAGTCACCCCTCTCCTTTTCAGTTGGCCTATGCAAAATGGGTCTTGCAGAAAGCCATTTCACATGTTCTTCTAAGTTCCTTCTTCTAAGCCCACTTAAGAAACAGCCTCGATTACCCATCTCTGCCATGGAGTTCTTTCTGATTCCTAGAAAGGTCTTTGAGAGCTTTACAAAACTGCCCCTTCCTTTAGAAACCCACACAGCAGACCTGGCCCGCAAGCCACTACCAGCCATGCTTACTTCTTTTCTTGCTAACCCGTCAGTATAGATCTTATTTTAAAATTATTTCATCCCTTTTTATTTCAAACAGATGATTTCAGAGGAGGAAAATATGTTTTTGTAGCCAGTGGCAGAAAAAAATGTACTGTAGGTTGAAAGTTTACAGCCTAAGCAATAGATGGGAGAGTTTGCTTAAAATGGCGATACTACTTTAAAGAATACATGCATTCACATTCCTTATCTACAAAGTTTCTAAAAGTCTTTTCCAAAATTAACTTGAGCTTGATCATTATTTTTAAGATAGTTAAAACAACTTTCTATGAGTCATTATTGTTGGGAACCCCAGTCATGACTTACCTGCTGGTGGCTTTATGAAAGGTGGAGGAATTAAAGGTACAATAATGGGCACGTTGCCATGATCCTTTGACCCTGCAGGTGAGTCACTGAGTCCATTTCCTGTGGCAAGCCCTGAATAGCCTGTGCTTATATTGTATGGTGAAATAACACTGTCCTCAGGTAATTTTGGTTTTGGCAAGGAATTTTCTGTAAAAGAAAAGAAATCACATTCAACACGACAACAGAACTTTATTTCCCTTATGACCACATTTTCTCAAGTAAAATATCTATGTAGCAAAAACACATTTTCCTAGCAAACCTTTAAACACTTTACCAGAACTCTACAAACCATCCAGGACCTGTTCAGGCTTGTTGCCATAAATCTCCAATGGGCTCCTTTATAATTTGCCCTGCTATGATAGCTAACATCCCAATTGCATCATGATGATGAATTTTAGCACTGTAAAAGCCTGTAGAAAATTGAGAGGCAATTAACCTTTTCCGTGTACAAAGTGATGTATAGCAGGCACCACTCTCTGTCTAGCGGGGGAAAGCTGAAGAAGTGCCCCACCCACCCAGCACTGTAACTAAGTCCCAGTGTATTATAAACTTGGTCCATACTCTAATCAAAAGAAAATAAACAAATGATTAGGAACAAAACTGTTGTTGCACAGGGTAGACCCATTAAATTAACCCATCAATATCAATTAAAAATGAAAATAAATAAAACGTACAATAGCATGAACTTTGTGAATTTTATCTTTGCATGTCCATTATTTAAAGCAAACAAATACCTTAACCATAGAAAACAACTTAGTCCCTTTAGTTACATATCCTGGTACCCTGTTCCACAGAGGGAAAGATTATGACCTAGACCAAGTATTTTATGAGCTATTAGTTTATAGAATATGAACTCATAACTCATATTTTTCATTTACAAGTGACATTGGTACTATTGCCACAATATGATGTGTACAATTTCATAGCAAGCTTAACGTAAAATTTGTCACGTACATTTAATTCCACATGCCTGCAGGACAGCTCATTTGTAGTTTGTGGTTTGGCATATAAGAAGGAAAAGTGCTATTTTACAGACTGGAAACAAAATGTATGAACAGGTAGTTTATGCCAATAATCTCGGAAAGCAATGCAAATACTAATCAAATTGCCAAAGACAATACACAATTAGTTTTACCCACATTTTATTAAAGTTCCTCAAAATGCTTCTTCACATATTCCTCTTCTTTTCTTGGACATTCCTTCCAAATTTAGGTTCATAAGTTCAGTATCCATAAAACACCTCCCAATGATCCTAAGCTCCCTGATTCTACTACCACCAGCAGAATCAGTGTTAATTCAACTCTGTCAAGACTCTAATTTCTACTCTTTGGCTGAGCTTTAAGGAACTTCTTGTAGAATAATACAGGATCCAACCATCTACTATGTTCTTACTCCTCTACCTACCCCACCCACAGGTGTTGGGGATGTGGGAAGGGTAAAAACTTCAAACACGGAAACAGAAATAGGGCTTTTCTTTAGAATTCCCACCAACAAAAAAGGGTCGGAGGAATTACCAAAATACTCTCTTGCATCTGAAAATCTAAACCTAGCATTTCACATCACAGAAAGCACCAGTCTCCAACAATTCATATATCAAAGGGCTTAGAAAAGCAGGATAGCCCTAGCCGGTTTGGCTCAGATAGAGTGTTGGCCTACGACTCAAGGGTCCCGAGTTTGATTCCGGTGAAGGGCTTGTACCTTGGTTGCAGGCACATCCCCAGTAGGGGGTGTGCAGGAGGCAGCTGATCGATGCTTCTCTCTCATCAAGTTTCTACCTCTCTATCTCTCTCCCTTCCTCTCTGTAAAAAATCAATAAAATATATATTTTTAAAAGACATGAAAAGCAGGAGAAGTTAGCAAATATTACCCCTTTCTATACATATGTGGGCAGGACGAGAGCACTCAAGGTCCCTAGCCCTTGTCTGGCTAGTTTTCCCATTGCTGGAAGGAGATCAGGCTGCGTCTATCTTTGTTTTATGTTGTGCTCTTATATTCCGTGGAATTCTGCTTATGGGAAAACACCACTGGGGATGTGCGTGTAAATCAACCATTGGCATAATCAACAAAATGAGTCCCAAAGCAGCTCAATTCTGGCAAGTTGAGATAGTTAATCCTTCTTGGCATGAACATAGGCACATTAAATGTCATTACCTTTGAGAACAGAAATGTGCTGCCGGCTCTCTCCGTCTGTGGGGTAGCTCCTGAATTCAATATCTTCACCATCTTTCAATTCAACCTTATCGTAGCCATACCAGCCAAGGAGTTCATTCATGGTGTTTTCTGCAAAGTTCTGAAAGAGAAGCAGAAGCTACTTATTTATATTATTGATAACTATTTGAAAAGGATGCATATATCAAATCCCCTTTGCACTGCCCACTTTCTGCCAGCCTCGACCCTCTTCCCCGAGGGGCATGTTCATTTTTCAACTCCTGTTCAAAATTGTAACGCATTTAAATCTCAGGGTGGCATGTCAAACTATGACAGGCCTTCAGACATTTGCAATTTAAAGATAATAAGAAAAAAAGGTATTAATTTTGCTTACAAACAGAAACAGTTTTAGCATCTTCCTCTGCAAAGCCCATACCGCACTAATACAAAAATATTGAAAGGTATAGCACAAAAACAGCTAAACATTTTTATTTTGAAAATGAAAACAACTAATTGACCTTTTGTGGCTCAGATTAATGTAAGTTAGAACTGCTTTCTAATTCATTTCAGATAAAGCAAAACCTCAGCAGAGAAATGATTTAATTGTACACTACCACACAGAAAGCTAAGTAGGCTACAAGGTTCTCCCTTTATTTTAAAGAATGGAGAAAAATGTTATTAATAGTAACACTGAGTGTCAAGTTTCCCTTTTTTGCTTTCCCTTTCCAAGAGTATTCTTTAAAAATAAATGCAGAATTTGCTTTATCAGTTTCATTTAGTGATAGATTCTTCCTTCATGAAATCAAAGGACACTGTGATTGTCTTTTGACATGTAATATAAAAGTACCAAATAACTTTAACGTTTCCAGCCCACCCAAATTTTGGATAACGTATGAAAACCTTCTGAGCTATAAATTAATATCTAACTATAAGGTGCTATTGTTATTATAGCTATCAAACTGTGAAAACAATGAATCTACTTGGACAGATTTAAAGCCTTTCTATCAGGTGACTGTGTTTTATGAATTTATCAACTACTAGATCTGGAAGCAAAACGTGAGGCTGTGTTTGTTAATTATCTTAATGTTTGCATGGGCCTTAAAGAATCTCTATCCAGGGAAATAGAGAGATGTTAGTAAATGGGTACAAACTTCCAGTTATAAGATATAAAATTTGAAGATATAATTTATAGCATAATGATTATAACTAATAATTCTGTATCACATACTTGAATGTTGCTAAGAAAGTAGATCTTACATGTTCTGACCACAAAAGGAAATGTTAAACTATGTGACAGATGGAGGTAGTAGCTAATGTTATAGTGGTAATAATTTTGAAATACATAAATGTATCAAACCAACCCCTGTACACCTTAAACTTTCACAGTTATGTGTCAATTATAACTCAATAAAGTGGAAAATTTTAAAATAAAAAGAAGGAATCTACATTACAGAGTAAGAGCTTAATACATGTTTATTGAATTAATTTTTAAAAGCATCTCTATCTGACAAGGCAGCCTGAGACTCCTACTCTGAGCTAGAAATCTGTATATTCTAACCTTCTTTATCTTTTCAAAGTCATTTCTTATTGTCCATAGAAGCTGTCATTTCTGCATTACACTGGGATGTATAATTTATATACCTGAAACAAAGAACCCAGATTAAACCAAAGTGCTCACAGGCTCAACGTGTGAGTTCCATGTTCTCTTAAATTTCACAACTAGAATTCAGCAGAGGTTGCATTATTTTTTTTTAAATGATATTACACTACGACTCCACAAAAACAAACCTGGCATTTCCAACTACCCACAGGATGCTAGATTTTTTGCTTTAGCGTTCACTTAAGCCTAGAGCCCCAACAGGGTCAACCTGTGATGGTACGGTGCACAAGCAATTAAAAAAAAAAATCTAGCCAGATTGATTCAGGGTTATCATCCATGAGGCCAACAGTCATCCATAGCAAGCTCTAGTGAGGCATTTATTCTCGCTGATGGCTGGTCATGTCCACATTAAATAGACATTCCTTTCATGAATGCACAAAGATGATATGATCGATATGTATAATAAGCTCAGCAACTTCTGGAATACCACTGAGGGGGACTCAGCTAAATGCTGCTCTGCTCAATAAAATGTGATCGCTTTAATGAGGCCTCAGTCTCCCTTAACACACAATTTCTTTCACTGAGCTCAGTGCCTGGACTGGAGAATGACAGTCCCTAAGCACACACACCGAGGTCCTCCATCAGTGGTCTGGCAGCAGAAATCTCCAAGGATAAGGATTACACCTTGCATTTAAAAAAAAAAAAAAACCAGTTTTAAAGGCCAAGTTCAAGCCATCCTATGGCCTATTTGCCCCAATCTCTCACAGAACCGTGCCAAGACAGAAAATCTTCTGCATAGTGACTCCTGGCCACCATATCCAATTTTTTAGACCATTTGAATCTGGGCACCTCTCTCTCCAGTTCTGCCGAACCTCTGAAGTGACACAAAAGACTACGGATGCATAATTCATGGAGCAGCCTTCCAGGCAGCATATAGATGTGTCTGTGTTAGTTGAGCTGCAAATCCATTCATTCGTTCAGAACCAATCCCATGGATGAAATCCAGAAGTTTCACACATTTAGATAAAAAACTAAAACTTCAACTGGATTATTAACACCAAATTCATATTATTTGGGCATCGTAACTGCATCACTTAGTTTATGGTTTGTGCTGAAAACTCAGACACTTCATGAATCAATATGAACTTGATCTATTCTATGATATTCAAGTTACTATAAGTATCAGTGAAAATATCATATACTCTAAAACATTCCCTTTCTTGTCATTGAAAAGAAAATAAACTCCTTAATGTTTCAATATATGACCTCAAAAGTAGAAAACAAAGGGTTTATAAAGCCTCAAGCCATAAATCTCAAACCTTTCATGACAGGAACAAGACTTTCATTGAAAGAAGAGGAAAACAAACACCAAAGTTTCCTTTTAGTGTAAGCACAAGAAATAGACTATTACCTCTGACTTACACACTGTTGTATTAAGAAAGCAGCCCTGCCCTAGCCAGGTGGCTCAATCGGTTGGAGCATTGTCCCATACACCAAAATGTTGTGGGTTCAAAACCCAGGGCACATACCTGGGTTTCCAGTTTAAGCCTGGGTCAGGCATGTACAGGAGGCAACCAACTGATGTTTCTCATAACTCTCACTCTCTCTCCCTCTTTCCCTCTCTCTCTCCCTCTCTCTTCTCTTCTCTTCTCTTCTCTTCTCTTCTCTTCTCTTCTCTTCTCTTCTCTTCTCTTCTTTCTCTCTCTCTCTCTCTCTCTCTCTCTCTCTCTCTCTCTCTCTCTCTCTCTCTCTCTCCCACCCTCCCTCCCTACCTCCCTCCCTCCACCCTTCCTTTTTTCCCTTCCTTTCTCTCTAAAAATCAATTAAGACATGTTCTAAAGTTGGTCAGAGCATCTCCCAATGAGCCAAGGTTGTGGGTTTGATCCCTATTCAGGGTATATACAAAAATCAACCAATGAATGCATAAGTAAGTGGAACAATAAATTACGTTTCTCTCTCTATTGAAGAAGAAAAGGAAAAGGAAGAGGAGGAGGAGGAGGAGGAGGAGGAGGAAGAGGAGGAGGAGGAGGAGGAGGAGGAGGAGGAGGAAGAAGAGGAGGAAGAGGAGGAAAAGAAGGAGGAGGAGGAGGAGGAGGAGGAGGAGGAGGAGGAGGAGGAGGAAGAAGAAGAAGAAGAAGAAGAAGAAGAAGAAGAAGAAGAAGAAGAAGAAGAAGAAGAAGAAGAAGAAATAATAATGAAGGAAAACAAAAGAACCCCAAGGAATAAATAACTTAAAAATGTTAATTTCTAGGTAGGATTTGATTCCAGATATCATATGGACTCATTATGGTGCTAAACCAACGGAAATGAAATATACTTTTATAGTTATCATCCAAGAAACATAATATATTCTAGGAAAAATGAATTCAATGTTTATGGCCCATAAGGGGTTTAAGCCCTTCTGCCAGAGAGTTCCAACAGTCATTTTTTCAACTTTTTGTATTGTTATCCTTTACAAAAAAATTTTTTTTTCTATTAAAGGTATTATTCTTTTCCTACATAAGGCTATGTCAGTTATGTGTTGTTTTTAAGATGAAAAATAAAGGTATTAACAGTTAAAGTACAGAGATTCTGAGGTAATGATGTTCAATAATAAGAGAAGCTACTGTACCGAGGAAGACTATAAAATTTGTGCCCTCCCTTAATCTTCACCCACCATTTGTTCTGGAGACTTAGAATATGAAACTGAAGTAGAGTTTTTGAAAGTCTCTCCAGGCTCTGAGATTTTGTTAAACCAACGAACTTCTGCTTATATGAGAAATGAAATACCTTTTGCAAAGAAATATAATTATAGTGATCACACATCATAAATTTTACTGAACAGCCACTATTTCAGATATTTTATCATTGCTCCCATAAACCATCAAAATGTGCCAGAAATTTCAATATCCTGGCATCTGAACCACATTTTGCAGACTGCCTCTCGCCCTTGGAAGTGGCACAAAAATCCTCTCTCATACCATGTGGTCCAATTTGGGTTTGGAAAATAGGTCACTATAATTATAATGATAATGTCTAACACTCTTATAGCACTTTATAGTGTTTCCACATCCTTTAAACGTCTCCTGTTCCTTTCAATAACCCTATGAATTGGGTATTTGATTTCCACAATAAACTTTTGGTGAACCTATGTAACATCCTCATTTTACAACAGAAATGAAAGCACCCAGAAGGTAGACAGGCATGAGAGATAACCCAGGAGAGTCAGCATGAAAATACAAGTTCTTATATCAGGTCTCTTTCTGTTATAACCTCCTCTGTAAGGTCCAATGTGTCATCAATTCCACAGAAGCTGCCTTCTTGGACCAAAGCGTTCATCCCGTAGGCTGTCAATATCACATATATACAGCTTTCAAGACAGGGCACATCTACTTCTGTTAAAACTTCACTTTCTTTCAGGTTTTATCATTAGGCTCTACTCTCCTTAATTACGTGTACTGTTGAAATGGGGTTGCTCAAATTTTATAATTAAAATTTAACCTTGTCACTTGACAGTTTTTGACATCACTTCTGACTCTAATTGCTTTGCACACCTCTTACTC